AAAAGGAAAGAAGGACTACAAGAAGATGCTGGAGACTCTCAAGGATGCTGAGAAAGCACTGATCAAGATGGAGCTCGGACTAAGGAAGCAGGCAACACACTGTCAGAAAATCCGTGCAACCGTCCACGAATACGTTGAAGCAACTCTGAGTAATGTGCTCATTATTCATTCAGGTACTCCTCACCTTAATATTATTGTTTTTGATTATTTCATCCATGCCCACAGGGGGAGAAGTTGAGGAAGCCGAAGGAGACCTAGATTCAGAAGAAGAAGACTCAGAGGAGGAGGAAGAAGGAGATGATTCCGAGATGCCTAAACCGACTCCTAAGAAAGTGGAGGCATCGAAGAAGTCAGGAACAAGCAGGAAGACTAGAAGAGCCAGGAGTCCTTCCGATGACTCATCACTTCGTTTTTGAGTTTTCTTTTGCTTATAATCTAAACCTTTCATGCTCTTGATGATTCTAAGTGGTGAACTGAAGTGTTATGTCTGTTGTTGGTAACCATGTGCTTTGATGACTCTAATTGGTTTGTCTTGAACCTTGATGAATTCAGTTGAAGGATTCGTGTTTGTGTGCATGATCTGAAATAACCAAAAAGGGGGAGATTGTTAGTGCAAGTATTGGCACGTGCTGTTTTGGTTGTTAAAAGGTTAATATATTTTTTTGACCATATTAACGCATCAAAAGAATAGACAATTAATATATTTTTTTGACATGTTTTTAGCTTTAGAATTATCTTTTCAATGAAAAAAAGATAGTAAAATTTATTTGAAAAACACTTTTGTTGAAATTACAACAATGAACTATATGTTAAATGCCAAAAATATAAAATACTATTTATAATAAATGGATATATTAAAGAGACTACAAATAGGATAAGAAACAAAAATGGAAACTTGAAAAAGAGATAATTACGGTATCAAATTCGGTACAGAGAGAAAGAGCATATTTTCTGAGTCTATTTCGTTAAGTGAGTGTGTTCTCATTATTTGGTGAGTGCGAGTCTGAGAGGGAGACCGATTGGGCAAATCTCCTCTCTGGTGAGTGATTTATGTTGTAAGGTTTTTTGATCAGTAGAATTCATTGTGAGAGGGGAAAAAACTCAGGGGGAGTTTCGGGTGTGTGTAGTAAATACGATTCTTACAACAAAAAGTGAGTTGTACTTGACTATCTTTCTCAAGTGAATAGAACTGATTAGTTTTCCGCATTACTCTTTGAGTGTTCAACTTTTTCATTAGATTTTTTTTTTCTGCATATTCTTCAAATATCGGTTACAAGTTACAACACTAAAAGTTAAATTTGTTACAAAAAAATAATTTTTCATTTGATTTCAACAAAAGTAAATTTTTTTTTGTTCTTATGGTCGATTTTGATAGGTGGATATTACATATCGTCATATCGACAAAATTAAATATTGTAGATAAAAGTTTAAATTCAATTCAATTTATATATATATATATATATATATATATATGTTTGTGAGAAGTGAATTTTTAATAAATTTCAGGATTTTTTTATTTAAAAATACTAGAAAAATATAAATCTAAATTAACTGCATTAAATTTCCTTAGCTGCCCGTAAGTAAAAAAAATTGTTCTGGGTGTTTGATAAAATGAATTCACAATGAATTTAATTGATATTTTTTTACAATTAATAAATTTTATTAACCAGGTAAAAATACTATATTCGTCTGAGTACCGGACCAAACTGAACCAAAACCACAAACATGCGATGCAAACCAAACCCAGACCATGTCCGTATAATCGCCAACCGCTACGCCGCGTATCTCCGCCTCTGTTTCCCGCCGGACCGGCGCGTCTCCTCCACTCGCGTTATCCATCCACGTCAACATCATCGCTTCTGGGTTTTCGTCCACGTGCCCACATCGTCAACCGGTATTGCGAATCCTCGAAGCTCGATTATGCGCGCGCCTTGTTCGACGAAATTCCCAAACAAGACGGAAACGCGAGAACCTCCATGATTTCTGGTTATTCTAATGCCGGAAAAATCAAACTCGCTTGTCGAGTTTTCCAGGAAACTCCATTGAGTTTGCGGGATACGATTATGTACAATGCGATGATCACCGCGTTTTTGCATAACAATGATGGGTATTCGGCTTTGAATCTCTTTTCCTGAGATGAAGTGCGACGGACTTAGACCCGATAGCTTCACGTTCTGTAGCGTTCTCGGGGGTTTGGCTCTTGTTGCCGAAGAGGAGAGGCAATGTGTGCAGTTTCACGGCGCCGTTGTGAAGTCCGGGGTGGGTTATGTTATGTATGTGAAATGTGCTTCTTCCCCTTAATGCTGCTCCGTCTTCCTTATTGGGTGTGGCTGGAAAAGTGTTTGACGAAATTCCTACGAAGGATGAGTTGTCGTGGACTAGTATGATCACGGGTTACGTGAGGAATGAATGGTCTTTTAGATCAGGGAAGGAGTGGATCGCCGGGATGGATGAGAAGATGCAGGGTCGCATGGAACGCGATGATTTCTGGTTATGTTCATCGTGGTTTGTATCGATCGAGAAGCACTTGAGATGGTTAGGAGGAGGATGCCTTTTGGGATCGAGCTTGACGAGTTTACATATACAAGCATTATAATTGCTTGTGCTGATGGTGGATTGCTTCAAATGGGAAAGCAGACGCACGCTTATATAACAAAAGGAGAGAGTGTTCTCGGGACTTTTTGCTGCCTGTTGAGAATGCGTTTGTCACTTTGTACTGTAAATGCGGTAAAGTTGATGAGGCGAAAGCCATTTTCGAAAAGAAGGTTTTGAACCGTGTGATTATGCATTCGCTGGGGCAATCTCTTCATGTGCTGCCGTAGGATCCTATAGCAATGCGCAGCAGTACCATGCTCAGTTGATTATATTAGGGTTTGATTCGATCGAGCCTCTCAGTTGTGAATGCCTTCATAACAATGCACGCAAGGTGTGGTTGCGTTGAGGTATCTCGACGCGTGTTTCCAACGATGCCCGTATTTGGATCCCATCTCTTGGAATGCTCTGATTGCTGCATTGGGCAGCATGGACATGGTGTTGAAGTGGTTGAAGGCTACGAGGAGACGCTGAAAGCGGGCATATCGCCTGATCGGGATAACATTCCTCTCAGTTCTCACCCCTTGCAGCCACGTAGGTCTAGTTGAACAAGGTCGTAAATGTTTTGATTCGATGAAAACCCTTTGCAGTAGTGAACCCCTGGGTGATGATCATTATGCTCGGGTTATCGACATGCTCTGTAGATCCGGAAAATTCTCTGATGCAGATGGTCGATGCCGTTTGAACCAACTCTGCAAGTATGGGAAGCCCTTCTCTCTGGTTGCAGAAACCATGGAAACACTGAGCTGGGGATCTTAGCCGCCGAGAAGCTCGTCAACCTCGTGCCAGAGCACGACGGGACCTATGCACTCTTATCAAAACATATACGCAGCTGCCGATCTGTAACGCGAGAGTGCGTAAATTGATGCGTGATCGAGGGGTAAAAATGGAACCGGAATGCAGTTGGATCGGGGTGAAGAACCAAGTCCATGCGTTTACGTACATTTCTCCGATCCCCAAATACCTGAAAATTTTGTCGAAGGGTTTGAGCATGCTCTTCGAATATATTGTTATACACCACAATATCGTCCAAGTAAACCGCCACAAATTTAGAAGTAAAATATATATTTATATAATAGTTAATTTTTTAATATTTAAAATTATATTATATATATATATATATATATATATATTTTCAAAATTTATATATTTTATAAAAAAATATAGTATTTTCAAAATAATTTATATATTTAATAATTTTTTAACACATTAATAGTTAGATAGATTTTCTATAATAAATTTAAATCTACATACTATTTTTTAATAACTTATATTTGTAATTTCTTTTTGAAATTAATAATTGATAAATTTTATAATAAATTTAACTTAAAAAATTTTTAAAAACAGGATATCATGTTTTTAAGTTTGTTCCAGATTTTTTTAAAAATAAAATAAAATACTCGATCGTCTCCAAAGTCCTTATGGACATTACCGTAATTTTACAGATCACTAACCCATCACTCAAGAAAGGAAAAAGGTACAAAAATTACAGATTGAAGAATGGAACCTTGTTTTTGCCTTTAGTCTTCAGACACCTCCTGAGATCCATCGTCGGAGTTTGTGGTGGAAGAGGATTTCCGGCAGAATGAGCGACGGAGATGACGCCGCGAGACGCCGTACTGCGGCTGTTGCCGACTACAGGAAGAAGCTTCTCCAGCACAAGGAGCTCGAGTCCCGTGTCCGAACAGGTTTTTAACCCTCGCGATGGTCATTTCGAAAAACCTAGATTCTCTTTTTGTATCTCATTCTCTGATTTCATCTGGGTCATCGTTATTATGATTCATCTGTAAGTGCTTTGAATTGTTTTGGCTGAGTTGAATCTAGGGTTTTTCTCCGAATGCTTTAGACTATCGTCAGTTTGGGGTTATTGGAGATTTGGGAATTTGGTTTGTTTAAATTAAGCACCTTTCGAGTGACGGGATTCTAGGGTTTTTCCTTCAATTGGTTAAACCATGTACCCTTTTTGAAGAGATGGGTGTTCCAATTGTTTAGATTTTCCGGGTATATAGATCAGTGTTTGTGAATTTCATCGGCGAGTGTGCTCTGAAGTTTTGTTGCTTTGGTGAAATGTTCATGAAACATCCTGTTTGAGTTGTTTCTGTTTGGTTGGGGATGGCAGACATTAAATCCCACAGATTTTAACATTTGAGTTTGTGTCTTTGCAGCTAGGGAGAGTCTAAGAGGAGCTAAGAAGGAATTCAACAAAACCGAGGATGATTTGAAATCCCTTCAAAGTGTTGGGCAGATAATCGGGGAAGTACTACGACCCCTAGACAATGAACGATGTAATATTCCGTATCTATTTATACCCTTTTTTTGGTTTCTATGTGGGCTTTGCTTATTCAACTCATGGTTGCTTAGCTTTCTTTTATACCATAATTTGTCTTTTCGGGATCCAAGGATTGAATTTTTCTTGCTTGTGTTCTAGTGATTGTCAAGGCAAGCAGTGGCCCCCGTTACGTGGTGGGTTGCCGCAGCAAGGTAGATAAAGAGAAGCTAACCTCGGGAACTCGAGTTGTTCTTGATATGACTACACTAACCATCATGCGAGCCCTTCCCCGAGAGGTACGGGTTCACATTAACATGCATTGGATTTTGTTATTTGCTCGCTCCTAGTCTTAGATTAGTTCTGCTGATATTAAAGCGGTATTTCCATGTCGATAGGTCGACCCAGTTGTTTACAACATGCTTCATGAAGACCCCGGAAATGTTAGCTACTCGGCTGTGGGTGGTTTGTCGGATCAGATCAGAGAGCTTAGGGAATCTATCGAGTTACCTCTTATGAACCCGGAGCTTTTCCTGAGAGTAGGGATCAAACCTCCAAAGGTATTAAATTATTAATTCTGCATCCTCGATTCCTCAGATCCTCTTGATCTATCCAATTAGGGTTCCAAGTTTCAGACTTTTAGTTTCCATCATATTCTGTAATTTGCCAGTATGAGATGTGTATTAATGGTGATTTTTTCTTCTCATTCCAGGGTGTCCTCCTTTATGGACCTCCAGGTACTGGGAAAACACTACTTGCTAGGGCTATTGCCAGCAACATTGATGCCAACTTCTTAAAGGTTTGGTTTTTGTGCACTTTTATGATTGTTTTGTTCCATTATGGGTAATTCTTAGGCTTAGATAGCTTTTTTTCTACTCGGTTCAGGTCGTGTCAAGTGCGATCATAGACAAATACATCGGAGAAAGTGCCAGGCTGATTCGAGAAATGTTTAACTATGCCCGTGATCACCAGGTAAAAACCCACCTTTCACTGGTGTTCATTAACAGTTCTTCCTTCATCTTTCATTAGGATTTATACCATCTTTCGTGAGTTACGTATAAGTATAAGCTCGTTTCTTCTTGGTAGCCTTGCATCATTTTCATGGATGAAATCGATGCTATTGGTGGGCGTCGTTTTAGCGAGGGAACTAGTGCTGATCGTGAAATCCAAAGAACGCTCATGGAGTTGCTTAACCAGCTTGATGGATTTGACCAACTTGGAAAGGTAGTGTCAATGATACAATGAACTGTATTGGGAAATCCTTTATAAAAACTTGATTGTTCTTCCCATTTTCCTCTTGAAAACGTATCAGGTGAAAATGATAATGGCAACGAACAGACCCGATGTTCTTGATCCCGCGCTTCTCCGTCCAGGTAGGCTCGACAGAAAGATCGAGATCCCCTTACCGAACGAGCAGTCGAGGATGGAGATCCTTAAGATCCACGCATCGGGAATCGCCAAACACGGTGAAATAGATTACGAGGCCGTCGTGAAACTGGCGGAGGCGAGTATATTTACCGTGATTTCAGTGTTCTTTCCATAGCTGTAACTCCGTTTTTTTACTGTTCTTCATTCTGAAATTCCCATAGGGTTTCAATGGCGCTGATCTGCGTAACATCTGTACCGAAGCTGGAATGTCTGCAATCCGAGCGGAACGTGACTATGTCATCCATGAAGATTTCATGAAGGTAATTTTCATTACTATGGGTGGGTTGCGGGTTGGGTACCCGAAACTCGTGGTCCCAGAATCCCTAGTTTAGGGATTTAAATAAAAATAAAGACCGGATTGCATTTGGGTCGGCTAAAAAAACCCATACTCGAACCCGTGGCCCGGGTTTCACCAGTAAAGGACCCGACTTCATAGTCGCTGGCCTTCGGTTATACTTTTTCCGTTTTTCGGGTACCCGCCGCCCAGTCCTAGACTTTTCCGCACCAACATGGTTGAACGCACATTGTTTCTGATTCGGAACGAACGTTTTCAGGCAGTGAGAAAGCTGAGCGAGGCCAAGAAGCTGGAGTCGAGTTCTCACTACAACACGGATTTCGGGAAAG